TCCTTTTGGGGTGATAAAAATGTTCCAGAACTAGATAGCGGTGATGGTTATATACATTCTGAATGTACTAAAAGCCACTGAATAGCACATTTTAAAATGGTTAAGATGGTGAATTTTATGTTATGTGAACTTTGGATATACAAAAGGAATAAAGAGCATTAGGCATGGTAACTATTTAGTTAAATAATAATACCTTTTCATCATATTATAAATCTCTTTAAAATATTATCAGCTGTTTAAACTAAAAATAATAGCAGTGTAATGTGGGGTTTATAACATGTGTAATGGCCAGTGGTTAGGAGCTACAGCTGCTAATGAAAAGGTTGGCAGTTCAAATCTACCAGCTGCTCCTTGAAAACCCTATGCAGCAGTTCTACTCTGTCCTATAGGGTTGGTATGAGTTGGAATCGACTCGACGGCAACAGGTTTGGTTTGGTTTTATGAATAAAATGGATGAAAACAAGAGCACATAAGTTGGGAACAGACAAATGGAAGTATACTGTTATAAAGTTATTATACTATATATGAAGTGGTATATTATCACTTCAAGATATACAGTGATAAGTTAAAGATATAAACTATAAAGCTAAAGAATCACTGTAATAAAACAAAAGGTTATAGCCAACAAGCTAACAATGAGATAAAATGGAATAATAACCATGACAATAAACACACGAAATCCAAATGTTCTAAAAACATCAATTAAAAGCCATATTTTATCAGACTGGATTAAAAAGCAAGACTCAACCTCTGTATGTTGTCTACAAGAAACACACTTCAATTATAAAGACACAAATAAGTTAAAAGAATGGAAAAAGATATACCATGCTAACATCAATTAAAAAATGCGGGACTTTGACACTGAAAACTACAAAAAATAAAATAAAAACAAAAACACTACTAAGGGAAATTAAGGAAGACCTATTTTACCTGTATATCAATACTGTTAGGATGTCAATCCTCCTCATTTCATCTGTAAAAAAATGCAACTCCAATAAAAAATACATCCAGGTTTTTTTTGAAGAAATTAACAGATTCTAGAATTCACATGGAAATGCAAACGACAGAGAAAAGCGAAAAATCTTTGAAAAAGCACAGAGTTGGAGGATCGACGCTACCTGATTTCAAGACATTATAAATCTACAGCAATCAAGATGGTGTGGTATTGACATAATGATAGACAAATAGATCACTAGAACAGAACAGAAATAGATTCATACATAAATGATGAATTGATTTTCAACAAAGGATGCTGGAACAATTGGGTTTCAATGTGCAAATAAGTTAATTTCAATCTACATCTTGTATTTTATTAAAAAAATTAATTAAAAGTAGAATGGAGACCTAAAACTGTAAGACATCTAGAAGAAAACTTAGACAAAAACTCTTGTGACCCTGGGTTAGGCTAAATATTTTAGATATAATACCAAAAATGTAACCCATAAAACAACACACTAATAAATTGAATGTAGTGAAAACTAAAAACTTCTGCTCTTCTAAAGACACTGTTAAGGGAATGAAAAGACAAGCTACAAAGTGGGAGAAAATATTTGCAAACCATATAGGGGACTTGTACTTAGAATACATAAAGAAACCTCAAAACTCAGTAAGAAGACAAACAACCTGATAAATGGGAAAAAACTTTCAACAGGCACTTCTCCCAAGAAGGTAAACAGAGGGCAAAGAAGCACATGAAAAGATGCTCAACATCATTAGTTATTAGGGAAAGGGAAATTAAAACCACAATGAGATACCACTACACATCTATTAGAATGGCTAAAATGAAAAAGACTGACCATATCAAGCTTGGCAAGGCTGTAGAGGAACTAGAACTTTCATAAATTGCTGATGGGAATATAAAATGGTACAACTGTTTTGGAGAACAGTTTGGCTGTTTCTTAAAAAGTTAAACATACCTCTGTCATATGATCTAGCCATTCCACTCCTAGGTATTTAGCTATGAGAAACGAAAGCACAGCTCATACAAAGAACTGTACATGAAGGTTCGTATCAGCTTTATTTGTAATAGGCAAAAACTGGAAATAACCTAAATGCCATCAACAGGTGAATGGATAAAATGTATATCCAGACAATGGAATGTTACTGAGCAATGAAAAGGAATGATCTATGGTTGAATCTAGAAATAATCATACAGAGTAAAAGAAGACAGATAAAGAGTAAATATGGTTCCATTTATATAAAAGTCTAGGAAATGTAAACTATAGTAACAGAAAGCAAACCAGTGGTTGCTTTGGAACTAGAATAGGGTGTGGGGAAGGGTGGGGAGGAGGAATCTCAAAGGGGCATGAGGAAACTTCTGGGGTGATGTATGTGTCCATTATCTTCATTTTGGTAATAATTTCATGAGTATATACATATGTCAAAAGTTATCATATTGTACACTTAAAGTATATGCAGCTTATGGTATGTCAATTATACTGCAATAATGCTGTTAAAAACAGTATTTTCACTTTGAATATTATTTAGCATTCTCATTTTAGAAGCGCATTTATATATAACCTCAGACATATTCTGAATAGCATATAACTTTATGGTAATTTGACCATGAGTTATTTGAGTTTCTCTTGTGTATAATTCTTGAGAACTCCAAGCTGGTTTAAATATTCAACCTGCTTCAAAGAATACAGAACCTGAGAGAATTTCCTTCTCTATTTTTTCACCATCTATTATGAAGAGTCTACTGCTACAAAAGAAATCAATCTAATAGTATTATCTTTCAGCTAATTAGTTTATATAATTACTTTCAATTTAAGCAATATAATTTTATAAGGCAGAAAACAGTTAACTATGGAATATTTCAAAGTATAGTACTTTTTTTTAATCTTAAGGGTAGTTATGTATTACACTCTGCAAAACTTCTTTAATAGAGGGCTACTGATCCTTTTCAAAAATACTTTATTATGAACAATTTTCAAACATACACTAAAGTACAGAATTGAATAATATGAGTGATCTGTATGTACCCATCACCTGAATGCAAATATTATCAACATTTTACAGTTCTTATTTTATCTATTGAGTCCTCCCCTCCCCCTTTTGGGAATATTTTAAAGCAAATTTGAAGTATCATTTCACATCATAAAAATTAGGCTTTTTCTCAATGTAAGCAAACAGCTTATTTTAAAAAAGCTTCAAAGTTAATTATACTTTATTACTACAGCATTTAATTTCATACATTTCCTCCCTATAATTTATATAGGTGTTATGCAGATTTAAATTCTCATTTTTAATTAACTGAAGTGCTCAGGAAGGCAGGTTTTTTTTTTTTTTTTAAATAATATATAAACATGTATACAAGTCTCTATATATCTTTATTATTTTATTTTAAAAATGTTTTTGATAGGTTATCATGAAATTAAAACCAGCATGTTGTTGTTGTTAGCTGCCACTGAGTCACTTCTGACTCATGGAGACCCCACGTGTACAGAATAGAACTGCTTCATAGGGTTTTCAAGTCTGTGAACTTTCGGAAGCAGATCACCAGGCCTGACTTTCGAAGTGCCTCTGGGTGGGTCTGACCACCAACTTTTCGGCTAGTAGTTGAGCGCTTAGCTGTTTGCACCAAAATCTATAATACACTAGAAAATAGAGGTTTATTTGTTTCTTTACTCATTTATTTATTCCATGCTTCCTTCTACCCAGTGGTGTGCTGAAGCTGGCTTGTAGCAGTTTGTGAGAGTTAACTATTTTTGGGAACTTTGTGAGCTAGTTGTCAAACATAACCATTACTGAATATTAAATTATTTAAATTTAAAATTAATTATATTAAAAAAGGGAATAAATACAAACTCATCAATTTTTAATTATTTTATTACATTTTAATATCATCTATGCTCTTGAGTTTATGTACATTTATTATATCTGTACAGTGGAAACTGTATGTAATGCTGTGCTGCTGAGCATCTCTACTCTGCATTCAGTGATGTTATGTTGGCAGACTGAAATCAGCCATGATGGGAATATTTATCCCACATACATAAGTAAATCAGAGCCCTGCATTATACACCTGCCCAGAGAGCTGGCTGTTAACATTTATCAGCACACCACTGCTGCCACCCTTAGAGTTAACTATGTGCTAGGCACTATAGTAATAAAAAATAATTCTAGTCTTTTGAAATTTGAGGATGAAGATCTTCCTAATGTTATAGTATTGAAAGTACTTTAATAGAAGATACTCTAAAGACAAATATGAACTGGTCCTTAAGAAAATGAAGAATACATGGTATGTATCTGTAGTATCTAATATATAATATCTTTTAAAATTCCTTTACTATAATAAAATCCAAAATCTTTAAATATCAACACAGAAAAACTTAGCATGCTGAAGCTCAGGAAATAAAAGGCACTGAGGTGGCATCTTTGACTTTAATTGTTTTATGACTTGGATTTCAAAAGTACAGAAAAATGTAGTTAGATGTTGAATTAATAATTCAAAATACCAATTAAAATGTATACATATATACATATACTCTTTAAATGACATAAGGCTAATGAAAATAAGAAATATAAAACTGATTTTTAAAAATAAATACAATTTAGGAGCTATCACATACCAAAGAATGTGAGAGCTTAAGTGTATACCAAGTACAGTGTGTTTAACAGATAATTGGTTTCATCAAACACAGAAGTCAAAGAGTAAACCTATTTAAAAAATAAGGTATTAGTCAAAAATTTAAAATGCCACTAAAAATTGCCAAACTTGTTTTGCCAGTTGATATTTTCAGAAATCAAAGCTGTGTCTGTCTAGTCTGCATTTATATTTAGTCTCAGCAAATTAATCTCTCTTTTGATCTTAGTTTTGCCATACACTATAAGTTGTTTTATAAGGCTTTAACATTAATTTAGGTTTATAAATTGTGAAATCATTTTACATTAGCAAACAGCTTATTTTAAAACTGCTCAGAAAATACTCAAAGGAGTTATAAAGAATTAAACTGAACACTGTGATTCTTTGTGTTTCTTTTGTTTAAATTATTTACCTCTTGCGAAAGCTGTGTTCCTTGGTCCTTTTGATGTTCCAGGTCTTTTAAAATTAGCGAGTTTTGTTTTTCTAACTGAAGCACTCTTCTTGCCAAGTGGACACTAGGCCAATGAAATGAGAAAATTAATGCTTACAGAAGTGAAACGCTGTCTAAAATATTCAAAATGTGTTTGTGTGCTTGAAAACTGACTTACCGTTGCCTAATAATGCTTAAATACTAACAAAAAATATAGTCAAATAACATTTTCAGATGTCAGTAGAAGACTAATACCCTCAAACGGCTCAGAAATTTTGAAAGTAACATTAAAATCTCCATAATAACCTAACTGTGATATATTGATTACGGCAGTAATGGTTTCTAGTCCTTGCTATAAAAGTAGAAAGTTAGATTATAGTTGCTCAAAAAGACCAGAAGACAGCAATTTGCTGTTTTTTCCCCAACTTGTATAAAAATTTCCCAATTACAAACAAATCAGGCAATTAGTTGAAATATTATGAACATTAATAAGCTTACACTTTGAAAAACATCAGTGTTTACCTCTGACAATATAATGCATTTTAGAGACAACACACAATTGAATAGATTTTCTATTGAAAGTGGAGATGGACAAGATTTATGAAACCTGGGGAATGTCTATACTAAGGGCAAAGACTCCATACTGAAAGAAATCACTTCTTTGGATGCTCTGCATTACTATAACTTATTGTACTAAGTGTAATATTTAAAATTTAAAAATCATATTAAATGTGAAATGTCCCAATTAAACTTTAAGAATATGTTTTAAGAAAAAAAAAGATTCAGTTATAAAATCATTCCTCTTAACTACTGGAAAAAGAAGTGGCATAATTTTTTCAAGAGCTGCTAATAATGTCAAGAAGAAATGCTGCTCCAAAAACCTTCTCTGTAATTTCTAAGAACTTAAAAATTTCTTATTTATCACATTTTTATGTATTTATATCTACATGGGTTAAATCTATTAATCTAATCCATGAATAGGGAAGACAAGACATTTTACAATAACAAGAAAAGATCTTCACTCAAAATAAAACTGTAGGACAGAAACAATTCTGCTGTATCTTTTATATTTCCTAACACAAAGGAATGTAGAAAAAAACCTTGAAAACAGAATACACATCTATCTCTAAGAACTCATTATTCCAAATGAAAAAGATGAGTTTTGGGAAAAGTTTATATAATGAATTGAATGGCGTGTTTAGATTCCCTCAAATCTAAGTCTGTTCTTTCAATGGGCAAATAATTTTGCCTTAATAATCATCTGAAGTTAGAGATGGAAAAGACACACAGTTCCTGTTTTTTGACAATCATTCTTTTTTAAAAATTGTCATGGAGTAAAAAGTTTTACTGATGTGTAATTTATATACCATAAAGTTTACCCATTTAAAATGTTCAATTCAGCATTTTTTATTATGAAGTTGTATAATTATCACCTTAATCTAATTTTAGAACATTTTCATTACCCCTCAAAAGGAACTCTGCACCCATTAGCAATAATTCCCTACCGTCTCCCCTTCTGCCTCCTACCCCAGCCCAGGTGAACCACAAATTTTAAAGGTATTTACAATTTATGGCTATTCTATTTTTCACTCCTAATCCAAATATACAAAGCTCTCTCAAATTTGACCCTAAAATAGTAAGGTCTCTACAAATAAAATATACCTTAATGCTAACTTTGCATTATTTTTACATTTAAAAATCTGTTGATTCTATTAGATGTCTGCAAACACCAGTATTTTATATCATTAACTCTGTTTTTTATCAGGTTAATTTTAAAAACTTGGTGTTATCTTCATTTATATTCTCATTCTCATTTTTCATATATTTTAGGAATAAGTATTTTCATTTTTCTGTCTGCCACAGAACTTTAGCATTAGGGTCTTTTGTACATAGTACTTTCTCCATAAATGTATGCTGAAGGGATACAATATTATTTGTGTAATATTCCATGTACAGAACAATTAACACAAGCAAATACAACTACACAGAAACTGATGAGATGAAATAGAAGACTGAGGGATGTAAGAAAATAATGAGATGCAAAGGACACCGATTACTAACATTCTGAAGAAGATAATGACTTGAAGACATCAAGTATAACAATATTAAATTGTTCGTTTGGTTTGGGTGCTTTTTGTTTCGTTGGGAATTGTCTAATGGTCTTATGCAAATATGGAAAAACCTCTTAACAATGGAAAATGTCCTAGGACACAAAACACTGAGTACAAGTAGTTCTTGGTATGTTGGTGCGTAAGCCTTAACATCAGGATTACACGTCCTTTTAACAAGAATTCTCCGAATTTTGGTTGGGGGATTCTGAGTGAGAAAAGCCCATTCTAAATGGATGGAAAGTAATCTCACAGTATCTTAACATTGCTTGTAGATATGTTCTGCAGTGGTCTGATTAGAAACTTATAGTACAATTTTATTGAGAAAAAACTTTTTAGGGACTGATGCTGACGGGAATGGCTGTGATTATTAGCAGGTGCGTTGATGTTATTTAAGATGCATAATGGTTATAATGTGGAAAGCACTGTGGTACAATGGGGTCACATTTTAGAAAATTCACTTCTAAGCCAGTGGTAAGGACAGTAGAACATATTTCCTCATAAAAATATCAGAAACAGTATTAAGGCTGGCTCCCAGGTTGCCCTTAAATACCCTTTTAGCCCCAAACAAAACAACCAAGAGTAGAAAATGACATTGTTAAATCTTTTTCTTTAAAACATATGTTTAAACACACAGAACACAACAAAAACAAGACATATAATTGTTCCTCATTATAATACCTTCAATGAAACAAAAATGATAAAACAAAATTAACAATGTTTTCTTGATCTTTAATATCAATGACTGCAGAAAAGCAAGTTGAATTAGAAGTGTTCATTAATTCATTCAAAACATTCACAAACATCCACATTTTCCTTTAACAAATATTTATTATAAGCTCATAATCTTCATGTTGTTGTGTGCCTCAGGTTGATTTCGACTCATATGGATCCTATGTGCAGAGCAGAACTGTCCCATAGGGCTTCCTAGGCTTTCATCTTCATGGGAGCAGATCACCAGGTTTATTCTCCTAGGAGCAGCTGGTACTTCGAACCATCAACCTTTTGGTTAGCAGCTGAGCACTTAACCACTGCACCACCACCCCCCCCCCAAAAAAAAGAAAATCAAAAAACAAAACCGTCTTTGTAAGCACTGCTGTTGTTGGGTGCCATCAAGTCAATTCCAACTCATAGCAACCCCATGCGACAGAGTAGAACTGTCCCATAGGGTTTTCTTGGCTGTAATCTTTACGGAAGCAAATTGTCAGGTTTTTTTGCTACAGAGCTGCTGGGTGGGTTTGAACCACCAACTTTTTGGTTAGCAGGCAACTGCTTCATCATTGCGCTGCCCGGGCTCCTTCACAGGCACTAGGAATACACAATTTCTGCCTGGAGGATCTAACAGTCTACTGAGGAAGATAGGCAAATTAAAAAAATTACTGTAGTGTGCTAAATGCTTTCAAAGGGCATACTGAAGAATGAAAACTAATACTGACTAATCTGGTAAAGCAGCAGAAAAATAGTATTCTGGGTAGAGGGAAAGGCATAAGCAAAGGTAAAAACAAGATAAAGGATGACGTGCTGGGGAAAACTGTAAGTAGTATGGTATGGATCGATAAAACATATGGTACATGATGAGGGTTGAAGCTAGAGAGATTTAGGCAGGGATATATGATGAAAGGCTTTCTATGAAAAGCTGAGTTTGGATTTTATTCTGAAGTTGGTCAAGCATGGCATGATCGAATCTGCACTTGAGGAAAAGTCCACTAGCAGCAGTGTGCAGGATAGCTTGAAGAAGAAAGAAGACTGGATCAGTTAGAAGATATGGTCACAGTCTAGATCAGTGGTCTCCAAAAGGAGGTATGTGCAAAATAATCCCTTGAAGTGTGAGAACTTACATTTATTTTATATCACATATCTGTAAGTTTTCATTTTCTGTATAGGTTTTATAATGTACAGACTATATTATCTATATGGTAGTGCATGCAGATGATCTATAAATACATATTAGTATATACATATATATATACCCACACACATACTGGTGGGTGTATGCTCTATTTTTTTGCTGATAGAGATTCATAAGGAAAAAAAAAAGGATACCTCTGGTCTATACCAGCTCTTTCCAACAGAAATATAATGTGAGCCAAACATGTAATTTTATGTTTTCCAGTAGCCACATTAAAAATAGTACAAAGCCCTTACTTCATATCATATACAAAAAAATAACTCAAAATGAATCAAAGACCTGTATGTATGAGTTGAAACTATAAAACTCTAAGAAGAAAACATAGGGGTAAATCTTCATGACCTTGGACTTGTGAAAGGATTCTTAGATATGATACCAAAAGCAAAAGCACCAAAAGAAAAAAATAAATTGGATTTCATCAACATTAAAAACTTTTGTGCCTCAAAGGATACCATTAAGAAAATGAAATAAAAACCCACAGAACTGAAGAAAATGTTTGCAAATCACATATCTGATAAGGGACTTGTATCTAGAATATATAAAGAACTCTTACAAATCAATAACAGAAATGGTCAAAGGATCTGAACAGATATTTCTCCAAGGAAGACATAAGAATAGCCAATAAGCACATTAAAAAATGTTCAACATCATTAGTCATCAGGGAGATGCAAATCAAAACCACAACGAGATACCACTTCACACCCACTAGGATAACTAGATAAAAAATCCAGATAATAGCAGTTGAGTGTTGGTGAGAATATGGAGAAATTGGAACCCTCAAACACTGCTGCACTGCTGGTGAGAATGTAAAACGGTACAGTTGTTTTGGGAAATAGTCTAGTAGTTCCTCAAATGATTATATACAGAGTTCCCATATGATCCAGCAATTTCATTCCTAAGTATATATCCAACAAACATTAAACCGTATGTCTACACAGAAACTTGTATACAAATGTTTATAGCATCATTATTCATAATTGTCAAAAGATGGAAACAACTTAATGTCTATCAAATGATGAATGAAAGAACAAAATGTATAATGAATAATCCATATAATGAAATACTGTT